CTGATCGAGGGTTGGGAGATCTGAAATATCTGAAAGGCAAGACAATTTCATGAAATTCTGCTACAGCAACATGCACAGAATGACCTCCGTATAAAAAAAAGTATCACCACGGTCCACCACTACGTACTCACATGTGTCCCCGCAGAAGAACATACATTTTGCCATTTTCTGCAAGAAAAGGCTTGCACATCAATGCGTATAATGCGGTATTGATCTCTTGATATGATGTGAAGGCCATCATTTAGTTTAAATTTACATATTGATATACTAGTAGGGCATTCCATTGATTGGTGACAGAAAAAAACAAAATAAATTATAGCAATAAAAACTGCTTTATGGCAGTTTTCTAAAAAAAGTTATTGTGTTCTAGTCCATGGACCCCGTCTAAAAAGTAAGAAATTAACGAAATGTGATAGCCGAAAATTAAAATTTCACACAAAACCTCACAATAATCACACACAGAATGAAAAGCTACATGTACTCGTAGAAGACCTTTTCCCCTCGTGATCCTCTTTCCTATGCATGCATGACATGCATGTTGCCAATTGTTGGTGCAGTACAAGTTTAGTGTTGAAAGCAGCATATCAAGTGTTGTGATTATTGTGAGGTTTTGTGTGAAATTTGAATTTTCGGCTATCACATTTCGTTAATTTCTTACTTTTTAGACGGGGTCCATGGACTAGAACACAATAACTTTTTTTAGAAAACTGCCATAAAGCAGTTTTTATTGCTATATTCTATTTTGAAGAGGCATGTGTCGCACTGAAAATGCGCTGCGAGATGGCTAGAGTTTGTGTACAAGGGGTGGTCGAGCTGTGGTCGCGTGACAGTCGACCTGTCGTCGCGTGAGCTGGCCAGAAACAAAATGGCGCCCACGTATTTGTACACAACCGTGAGCCCTGAACTTAGAAAGATGGCGTCGGTTCGAGATGGCATGGTAACCGCGCACGTGCCGTGGTCCGTGACTTGCTCACGTATGCACGCAAATGCAAGTCACAAACTCACAAAGATCGTCTTTGCATTTTGGAGAAAATATCTTCGACTCTCTTTGGAGGTTGGCGAGGTTTGCCTAAGCTTTACCTGATTGCGATGCCGGTATGTCCTCTCAATAATTAGAACATAGAGAGCTGATGATCGCTTCATTGCTGAGCAGAAGTAACAATCAACTCTCCTCATGTCCTCAGTGCCAAAGGCAGACGACTGCAATTCCTCAACGCTCATTTCACGATGATGGAAACAATAATCGTGTACTAGTACACACTAGGACCATTTGGTCATTCCTATTCTAGCCGCTAGTCCGTCCAGCAAGCAGATATTGACTATTACGATAAGGACAACTGCGTGAACGAGGGCTCGCCCAGCAAATACAATTCAAGTCGTGACTCCAGTCAAGAATTAGGGTCTTTACTCGAGAACTTCACAAATACAGGCCAAGGCACCCCACAAAACTGATAGATGGCACGAACGAAAGACAAATAGGCTAGACAAAGTGTCTCAAGTGATTGAAAACAGCAGATCTACCAAATAAGACAGCTACATGTGCCTAAACAACGATTCCCATACAGTAGAGAGTAGTATCAGGCAGAATGAAAGCCTTGGAAGTGCAAAAATACAGCGACGACCGCCACAAAAATTGGACGACCGCCACAAAAAAATTCCCATTGCTCTACCTCCTTGAAGGGTGAAAGTTACCAGTTATCCTATAGCAATGTCAGTTTATGCCTGTTGGAACCCCCCATAGCCCGCACGAAATACCTTTCAAATAATTCCAGGATGCAATTGCAGCTCCAGACAGGAGGAAGAAGAACACCGTGAAAAATAACGGCAACGATGCCCAAACTCTCGGGAAACGGCTGAAGTCTTCCTGAAGATGTTAACATTGAATAGCCATCGATTACCAGCGTGGTTTGGTGACTTTAGAACTGTTTTGAGACTTAGAACGAAGCGACATCTCAAATTTGATGGAATTGTTACCTGTCAAATGCGTGGGCGAGCAGGCCAGCTGACTGGTTATGCATGAGCATGCATTGATTTTTCATGGTTCACGTGCAGAAAACTAAGTTGCCGCAATCCAAGTGCAGCTAACAGCCGTGAGGACTTGAACAGAGGGGATTTTAAAAGGATCGATGATCTGGCAAGTGGGAAATGGAGAGAACATCTAGTACGCGAGCTATTATTGAACCAGCTCTTCATGGTTTTACTGCATTATGGCGCGCTTTGTCTGCGTAGACGCCGAGACCTTTGAGGTCGGCAGAGCAGCCTGGCCCCGCCACCACTTCTCGCACATATTCGGGAATATAGTGGACTTTCGTATAAAAAAATAAAAAATAAAAATAAAGCTTAAATGCGCAAGTGCATGAGGAGGAGCAAGTTGAAGCTTAAAGGGGAAGTTAAGGCAAAAATAAAAATTTCACCAGTTGTAGTCTTCGGGGTGCTGAGGCGAATGGTCTTTGTCCGAGAAAGCTGAGACGCTCCCTTCCTACTTGAATCCCAATCGAACTCGCACACTTCCACCGAAACTGGGTGACTGCGCCCTACTAGATGTGGATTTGTATGCAAAATGTCACTAAAAGCGCCGTATCGTTCTTATAAAAGCACGGATGACCGCGATTGGCCCATATGTTGTAGTCTTTTGGACGCTGAGTCGACTGGTTTTGGTCCGAAAAGGCTGCGATGCAGCGTTCCTCCTTTATTCCCAATCGAACATGGTTGAACAAGTGGTCACGTGCTCCTGCGTACACCAGTCAGCTGGTCACCGTGCCTGCAGGGTACAACTTACTAGCCTGTTTGACCATTTTTGGGTGCAGTCCTGTCACTCGAGTTCAACTCGAGTTGAACCTTGGTGTGAAAGTTGTCGCATGCGGGCGTGGTGACCAGGTGATTTGGGCACCCAGGAGCACGTGACCACTTGTTCAACCATGTTCGATTGGGAATAAAGGAGGAACGCTGCATCGCAGCCTTTTCAGACCAGAACCAGTCGACTCAGCGTCCAAAAGACTACAACATATGGGCCAATCGCGGTCATCCGTGCTTTTATAAGAACGAAATGGCGCTTTTAGTGACATTTTGCATACAAATCCCCATCTAGTAGGGCGCAGTCACCCAGTTTCGGTGGAAGTGCGCGAGTTCGATTGGGATTCAAGTAGGAAGGGAGCGTCTCAGCTTTCTCGGACCAAGACCATTCGACTCAGCACCCCGAAGACTACAACTGGTGAAATTTTAATTTTTGCCTTAACTTCCCCTTTAGTAATGGTGAATGGATTTGCATGCCGAGTGGGGAAAGCGTTCTGAGAGAGGGGAAGAGGAAGCCAAAATGTATAGCATCTGAGAGGAAGTCAGAGTCTTATGCTGACCTTCATACAAACTGACAGTCAACTTCTTCCTGTTTCTATGGTGGCGGTCTATATGGGGTTTGTATGAGGTGTATATGCCCAGTATAAGCCGCCAGCATGATGGGCAAGTAGTTGACTGGAAGTTTGTATGAAAGGTCAGCATAAAGGTTCAATACAGGTTGGTTAGTCCTAATGTTGACCAAAATATAATATTTCGGCAAGCGATAACCAATGAGAACGAGCGCGGTGCCCATAGCAACCACCATAGCAACAATGCTAAATCCATTGAACACGAGTTCCATTACTATGAAATTGAAGTGGGCACTGATTGCTATGGTTGTATTATACATGTACAAATAATAAATACAGCAGTTTGGTCTTCAGATGCCCAACTTTACTGCGGCAGTCACACAGTTGATCAATCCTGTACATGTACTAGTCCATGTACATTTGAAATTTTGAATGTAAAATGCACAATAGTGAAATACGCGTACAATCCAATCACTGACGCGATCCTTTTCAGAGCACCACTCCATAGCAATTTCTTTCTGGTTTCAAGGCGAAGAGTCGAATACAAAATCATAGCTCACTTTGTCGCAATAGCGAAAGTCTCCGTCAGGTGCGATCTTTCACTAGGGCCAACAAATCATCTGAAACACTCCTAGCGCTTGAACATATTGGGTCCAGAAATTCATTCATTTTGGGCGACCAGGAGGTGAAAGTCTTGAAAGCGCGATGAAGAGCGATCCCCCAGCTCGAGAAGAAAGCACTACTCTACATAATTCGAGGTCGCTGAACACGATGGTGGGTGTTTCCTGGACGTGTACTCCCTCCAAACGGATGAAAAATCCAATTGAAAACTACACTCCTCACAACAAAAAGCTCAAACTACAGTTGCCCAAGCAAGTGCGGCAGCAAAACGAACAGGAAGACCTCAGCTATCAAACGCACCAACTTTCAACTAATTACTTTGAAAAGAAAGCAGGACAAAGCAGTTGGAAAAAAACTGCTAAATCATGTACGTGACCCGCACGTGAAGGCTGCCAAGTTTTCAGCTGATTTGTCACGTGACTGAACTCCCCTAGTAAAAGATGCGTCTTGTGGCATGATCTACTGAGCGGCGGCATCGCCGGAACGCTCCTATTTTCTTATAAACAGACGTGCAAACATGGTCAATCTGGTCTTCAAACGTAAGGTGCTCATCAATAATCAGACCGAGATAGCGAGTAGTTGGGGAAGGTGGAATATCTACATCACCGCATGATCTGGGGCGAGGAAAAGACGCTTCCTCCGGAGCACCATGTTCGTTTTCACGGGATTCAAGATCAGGCCTTTCCAGGTCGTAGGTCTACTCGTAGACTCTACTGTCGTAGGTATTACGACTCCCTGGTCTATATCTACACAGTCATGATTTACGTCAGTCTACGTCACGTCTGTGCGGACGTGGGAAAACTCATTTTTGTCCCATGCATGGCCCAGTGCATGTTTTGCTGCAAGGGATTTGACCTTTGAACCATCTATTATTAGTAAGGGTGCAACCTCTGAACTTTGAACCGACCTAAAACGTGTAAAAACTAAAATCGATCATGCAAGACTTTTTTCCTTCAGCGATATGTATGCCTCGCAAGCGACACAGTACGAGTCACGTACAATCACAACGACCGTAGTCGTTGTTCAATTTTCGTTCGCTTTTTTACTTTTAGCAATGTCACCGTTGTATTCCTGTTCGTATTTCATCATCACCTCATCTTTTCCGTAGTTGTCGCCACCATTCTACCCACTAGACAGATATCAGTTGCCCGTTTCTGGAGTCGTGAGAAGTAACAGAGATCAGCTGGCAGCTGTCTGCCCAAGCTGCAAGAGAGGCGCTTTCTTGCGATGTCAATCCTGGCCTGGTGGAGTTTTATAGTTTACTGATGGCCTGATCTTGGTATCCCCGTCGTATTCAGATTCAAAGAGAGGTAAGCACATCCTAAGGCTGTTTGCTGTGTGCGAGGCCAGCCTGCCTGTATATGTCTGTTCACTGTAGCTTTTGTAGGCACTGCCGGCCTTTAGTCGATCCTCTGCCAGAACCGCTCGCCTTTGTGTTACTTCTAACCTTCGATAATTACTCATACGTAGATCTACTGTACCTCCGTAACAAGAGTAAAACTTGGCCGAAGGATGGTTTCTTGCTGTGATGTGCACACGGTGGTTTCGTGTCGAATAGCTGAGCGGCACAGCCTCTGTCTTCCTTGCACTGTAGCTCGCTCTGTGTTGCATGAACTTTGAAGTGCTCCAAAGTATGCTGGCACAAGAGACGGTCGGTAACACGGACATGTTTGCGCAGTCCAGACTGAAGCTCAAAGCTTTAAAGGCGGTGTTGAGTTCAAAACGGAAGCTGAAAAGGCCCCCTTCCTTCACTGTCCACATGTCATGGCAAACGCACATGTGTAGGAAGTTCGTGACCATGTTTGGTCATTGCAGTGACTGAACTTGCAATCTGTGCCGCACAAACTTTGACAAATCATTCAATCCTGTCACCAAATGCCCCCAAAACGGCGGTAATTTCGGGAAGTTGCTTTTGGCTTGACGATAGCCAATGTGGCCAATGGACTGTTCCTTAGTCTACCTCCAGTAATGGTCAAAGGGAGTGAGAGAGATTGGTATGCTGGTGCAATCATTATTGAAAGAAAAATGATTTTTTTGCAGATACAGTGCAAGGCATCTGAAAAAACTGGATTTCACTGCTGACTGTAGGCGTGTAGTGTGGAACTAACAACTGCTGTGTGAGGTTACTTCACAACCCATCCATCCTTCATGAAAATACTTGTGCAGAAAAAACCCAAACATTGAAGGCCTAATTTATTGAAATGTGACACCTCGCCATCGTTGTTTCACACCATATCCACAAGCAGTGCAGTGCATACTTTGTAGGTGCTCCCTGTACTGATGACTTCACACACCCTTTCCACTCACACACCCTATTCCTTCAAGCCACCTTTCCCTTTCACACACGCTTTCTCTTTGCAAAGCCTTTCCCTTCACAATTCCTTTTCCTCTTCACACTCCCTTTCCCTTCACACTCCCTTTCCCTTTGCAACACCTTGTTCTCCACACCACCTTGTTCTCCACAACACCTTGTTCTCCGCGCTGCCTTTCCCTTCATTAAACCGGCTTCACCACACCTTTCCCTTCATCACTCCTTTCCCTTCACAACACCATATTCTCCACAATACCTTTCCCTCCATCATGACACCTTATTCTCCACGCCGCCTTATTCGTCACGGTACCTTATTTGCCGCGATGCCTTTCCCTTCACAACACCTTTTGCGTCAAGGCACCTTTTTCCGTCACATCACTATTCCGTTAGTGCGTTATCACTGTATCAGCTCTTCATTGGCTGGCTCAATGTTTCACGCATACCTGCACTTGCCACCTCCAGTCCAGTTTATCTATGCTGTTGCCTGGTGCTGGGTACCCACCATTGCAGTAGTATTCAATGGGGAAATTTGCAGGAAAATGCTCGTGTCCCAGCCAAGCTGTGTCTGTTGTTGGTGGCCGGTTGCTTTTCAAGTTTGTACTCTTTGTGTGTTAATTACTTTTTTTTTACATCCGGCAACTTCACGAATGCAGTAATTATGATGTTGGCATTGGGCCTCATGATTGATAGCTGGGATCTGTCCTCCCTCGCCGTTTAGGAGCCGTACAGCGGATGCTGGATCATTGAGTGCTGGTGTCCCCTGGCAGTGGAACAGTAGTTCCTAAGCTACCTGGAACACTGATCAAAAAATTGGTTATTTCTTTATTATGTCCTGCGTGTGTGTGTGTGTGTGTGTGTGTGTGTGTGTGTGTGTGTGTGTGTGTGTGTGCGTTGTGTGTGTGTGTGCACGCGCGCATATGTGTGCCCATGTCTGTGTGTAGGCTTACCTGGTTTCCGGCTATGGCTGGTCGCCATGGTCGGCTTCGAATTGTGCTCGTCGCTGTCATGGCAACGGTACTTTCGCTGCGCATGGCCAAGGGTCAGGGCTCTCCGTCATCGGCGCGATGTGTTCAACATTTCAACACGTACCTGTGCTCGCGATTAGGCCTGCTGACGATACCACTTCCCATTCCTGCAACAAGCACTTACCTGTAAGTGTGAATGGAGTGCCGATCTGTTGTGCAGATCTAGTCCAAGAATGCCATTCCCAGCCTTGGGCCGCAACCACACTACGTAAAAATCACAATACAAATTTTCATGCATATCTCAGTACAAGTCGGTACGCAACCACACTACACTTTTCGGTCTGCATAGTTGACGTTTTCACGCGAACAGCACGTGACGTTGTCGTACCAAAGCTTGTGCCATGCGCTGGAAAAGACCGGGAAATTCAAAAACAATGCTGATGCTGATGCTATGTACGACGACCAGGTACAAAAACAAAGTTGTACACAGGAGATGGAGCGCGAAAACGACGAAAACGACAAACGTGGCTTTCTACAGGGGTGCGCCAGTTGCTGAAAACCTTCAAAGCGCATTTTGCATTTCGCACGCGTCGGCATGACGATTTCTACTGTAATGCAGTTTGTACGTGATTTTGTACCTAGTGTGGTTGCAGCCTTAGGCCCTTTTCAGACTAGGTACAAAACAGCCTATAAGTCACATTTACATAGAAGTTTCCAAGACAACAACAAGAATCTGGCGGGAAGCCTAAAAAGCTGCCCAATCCTTTCAGGCAGGGTGAGAACCCTTGTACAAGGCAACTTTCCTGTATTTATCGTACTTTCACCAGGCAGTCGCACAAACTTTGTACCCGGGTACGACTGTCCGCTGCTTTCCCACATCCCAGGCCCCTTGCGCAATTGCGTAGGGTCAAAGGTTGCCTGTATATTGCATGTAAAATGTGTAGTCTGAATGCAGGCATGGAAAAATGTTGCCTTTTAGGTTTTATGTGATTTTTTACTGGATGTTCTATGTACGTAGTCTGATGAAGACCTTATGTGAAAGTGACTGAATGCCAGAAATTAACATGGATGATCCAATCGAAGATTGTATAGAGCCCACCAAGGGCCGACATCACCCTGAACAAGAATCCAAAAGAAGTTTGCACTGCATATTGTAGAACTTGCGCATCTCGAGGTTGTTCCTCCTGGTCGATATGCGTTTTTGACTACATCCCTAGCGCAGTACCTATGGACAATGTTGCCCGATGATTGCATGGCAATGGGCATGAAACTGAGGGTTGCAACGAACTAGCCTTGTTCCCCTGTTCTACTCTGTGCCCCTGTGTGTTTCCCTGTCTAGCTTCTTGGACCACAATGCCATTTCGGTGTTGGGCGAGAAGGCGTTCGGTGACTCCACACATCTCACACACATGTAAGTCGTACCGTGCGAATAGCTGCAGAAGAGAGCAGAAGTCGCGACTGCCAGGCATGCAGCGGGCCTGCGACCTTCGGCTTCTCCGTGTGCGTTCACGTTATTCCCTAATGCAGCCAGCCCTGAATTCCTTTAACCTCAGTGACTAGTAGTGGAAGTTGACTAGAGTGTTGGTGTGACAATACATGGCAACAGTACCGGCAGCACCTGGTCTTCAGACCACCTGATTTCAGCAGCCACCTGGCATGTGAGACCACCTGATTTCAGCAGCCACCTGGCCTGTGCGACCACCACATTTCTTTTGGTACTGGATGAGTTGCTAACCCACATTTCACCCTGGTTTCACGGACCACCGGAACTCAAAGACTGTGATATAACGTTACCCGTAGGCCAGAGGAGCGCAGCTAGGGGTGCCTTTGACCTGGTTCCAGACTGTCTGGTCTGTTCATGACTAGAATCAGGCCACAGTAGTAAGACATTGTCTTTTTTGAATTCTTTATTCTCGCGATGGCACCATCGCCGATAAGCGATAGGTATATGAGAAGGTGAGATGCTGTGTCTTTTTCTCCCTATGCTGGTAGATATCTGAACCATAACACGATATCACGGCTTTCGGCTCTTGCCTTCTCGGGTCTCGTGCACCTGCATACTTTGTAAGTACCCTGCATGAGGTAGTGTCTGGGTCTACTAGTACAGTCTGTATCGGCTATAGAGTGACCGGATATAAGAATATATCGGCTACAGTGATATTGGTACGAAATATCAAAAGCAAAACGTATTTTATTCAGTACAAATATCACTATAACCAATATTATCGGATGTAATGATATATCGGATATTATGATGGCAACAAAGAATCAAAACATGCATAACACACTACATTATTATCGTCTATAGTGATAACTTTAAAATACATGTTGCAATAATATCAAAGACCCTATTTTTTACTTTCTTCACGTTGCTTATTTTGATAGTGACACATGTACATGTACATGTACATAACAGAATTTTTTATGGAAATGCGGGCACTGTCAAGTATGCAGCATGCTCATTTGTCAAAACGCCATGCTGGAAGTATTTCCTTGCCTTTCATGTGTCGATCGAAAAAATCGATCGTATCGCATATAGTGATGCATCGGTTATAGTGATAAAATCACGGAAATCAAAAGGGTACGCTATAGCCGATACAGACTGTACATGAACGACATCATCGTGCCCTGTAGGTGATATTAGAACGACATCATCATAATTATTATGGTGTGAGGGTCTTTACTATGATGTACGTTTGTATTACTGCATGAGTACCCTGCACGAGGTAATGTCTGTATCTCTACATGAATGACATCATCAATTCATCATGCCCTGTAGGTGATATCAAAACGACATCATCATAATTATTATGGTGCGAGGGTCTTTACAATGATGTACGTTTGTATTGGCGAGCCATTTTTTTGGCACATTGAAATCCTGGGAATAAATGTGTCACATGATTCATTATTCTTTTCCTGTTGTTATCTCTGCTGTGGGCTAGACTCCTCAATAACAACAAAATTTCACGATTGCCGGCCAATCTTTTTCATGATTGTACATCATTGAAACTGTTGTAAGTACATGTAGCATTATGCAAGCATTTAATGTAACGGCAAGTTGATGCTTGCATGCAAAATCTCACACGTGTCTTGAAAACAATCCCAAAGGTGTGTGCAAGTACATGTGCATACGCGCGCGCGCGCGTGTGTGTGTGTGTGTATTTGTATGTGTGTATTTGTATGTGTGTATTTTTGCATGTGTGTATTTTTGCATGTGTGTATGTGTGCGTACGTGTATGTTCGTGTATGTGCGCGTGTATGTGCGCGTGTGTGTGTGTGTGTGTGTGTGTGTGTGTGTGTGTGTGTGTGTGTGTGTGCTTGTGTACATGTGTGTGTTCGTGAGTGTGCGCATGCGTGTTTGTGTCAACGCTCGGCACTAGGCTGCATTAAGCACTGTATTCGAGCTGTCCCGACTGGCCCTGAATATGCGATGATGTCATTCGCGTACGCTCTATCCCAACAAGCCCTGCCGACACGACATCATTGATCATGATATTCACACGCTGTACATGTAATAGGAACTCAAACCTATGCTGTACCCTTGTCTTGCCTGTTGCCTGCCAGAAACCTGTCCAGCAACAGTTTAGCAGTTCTTCCAGGGGCCTTGTTCAGTAACGCCTCTGCTCACGCTCGCAGCCTGTAAGTGTCCTACAGCTATGTCTGTGTGTGTGTGTTTATTTATTTCAGGGCTACAACGGGTACGGGTTTGGCCGGGTAACGAGTTCGGGTATTTATAACCCGGGTAGCACAGGTGCTAGTACCCTATCGGGCATTTTTGGACATAGTTTGTACTGTAAGTGTGCACTTGTGCTACGTAGAGCGTGTATGGTAAGCACGTAGTCGTGCTTTTTACATGCACCGTTGGGAAAACTTCGTACTCCAACTACCCGATCGGGTTCTCAGGAGCAAACTGCTACCGGGATAACCGCTCTAATTACGGGTAGCACGGGTACCCTACTACTCGTTGACACCCCTAGTGTATTTTGCCTCCCAGGGTTTGGTGGAATCTAAAGGTTTGGGTAAAGCCTGTGCTTTAGGTAGACGCATGTGTCGCATTCCTGCGAGGTTCGTTGCCGGTCTTGATTTCTCATAACTTAACCAAGTCCAACAGCCAGGTGCTTGACCAATACGGTAAAACATGTCACTTTAGGTGCATTAAAATGTCGGCACCAGGGACCTGCCAGGCTTCAGGTGTAGTGTAGAATTAGGTGACCAGTATTCCCTTCACGTACAGTGCATACTCTAGTGCATTTAGGTGTAAGTTAAATTTAGGTGCCTGGTTTCTCTACCGAAATCACCGAAATTAAAGTTACACCGAAAATCACATGTTATACAGTATAGTCGACGACCCAAACTTCATTCTGCGGCTTGCATTGCACTAGTCGTCACACACGGCAACAAGAGATAGGATAGTAGAGGATTGTGAATGGCTTCAGTCTTTAAAAATTCTCAACAAAGGAGATAACTGTCCGTCTTCATTTTGTAACGGAATCACGGCCATTCCGTTCCCTGGGACGCAGGACACAAAGGCCAAGTACTGTTCGTTCACAGTATTTTATTGAACTAGGACGTGACGGGAAAACAGGGACAACTAGCTCCCACGGGACGAACAAGAACAAGTAACAATTCAAGTCTTTGTCGGACAGGGTCACAGCGTTTATTGTCATGTTGCGAGGGGTTTTGCCGAGTGTTTTAAGGTCAGCTTTCCATTGGAGCTGGGTCATCAATTCTATCCAGGCCTGGTCATGCACACAAGCACAGCACAGAACAACGCAAGCGTCTGCAACATATAATGCCTTTCGGTTATCCGTTAATTGGATAAGAATATCTGAAGCCCGGCGCACGTTCACATCTATAAGTTCGAAAGTAGTGAATAATGAGGAATTATAATCTGACCCACCACTGTAACACCCCAGTGTGCGCATTGATGGTAACATTGGGCAACATCAACCACTGCTAAGTCGATGTGTAGACAGGCCATCTATCTCCCTGTGTTACGCTCACGACCATGACCACGACCACGTGTGTATGTGTGTATGTGTGTGTGTATGTGCTTGTGTGTGTGTGTGTGTGTGTGTGTGTGTGTGTGTGCTTGTGTGTTTGTGTGTGTGCTTGTGTGTGTGTGTGCTTGTGTCTGTGTGCTTGTGTCTGTGTGCGGGTGCGTGCATGCGTGCGCGTGTGTACAAATGTGTGAACATGTGATTTGGCGAACTGTGCAGGGATTTGACTGATAATCCTCTTCGGAAGACCTACCAGCTGTGCAGTGTAGTTTCATTCGTGACTGGCACATCTGACAGGCCGGCAGTCAACACCCGATCAACCGTGCAATTGAGTGATGCACTCATGCAATTCTACACAGCCAGTGAGTTCAATTATCCTGGTATCCTCTTTTCCCCCTCGGCATTGTCTCTTGCCGCAACCCAGCACTGAACTGATTTTGCACTGTGATGGCAAATAAAATTCAACCTCCGCAACAGTGTAGATCTGCACTCCCTTCACAGCCCAGTGTTGGCAATGCTATGACCATATACCCCTGGAGCTGTACTCGTGATGGAGCTGGATTTCCCTTGGCATCGCGGTACGCCAACTGGTAGTCAAGTCACACATGCAGGTGCTGATATATTGCCCATTGCACACATGCACGCACACAGACACGCACGCGCACACACACACACACACGCACATGCACACACACATGCACACATGCACACGCATGTACACACATGTACACACGCTCACGCACACACACACACACACACACACACACACACACACACACACACACACACACACACACACACACACACACACACACTAAACCAATATTTGTATGCTTCACTTTGCAGCCATCAACCCGGCAGTGTGCGCCAGTGACTGCAACTCGGTGTCGTCCACTGTACTACCTTGTCCGGAAGACTCCACATGTGATGGGACTGTGGCCAGACACGACTGCACCATTTTGACAGCATCTGGACCAAAGTTATTGCCAGGTAACTCCCTAGACCCTGCTGTCTATTCGTGTAGAATACTGCACAGGGGCGTCGGAAGGTATTCGACATTGGTACGGCCGTGAATGGGTGGAGGGTCTGGGGGGGGGGGGGGGGGGGGTGGTTCTCCTCCGGAAAATTTAGGGAAATTGGGCCAAATAGCTCATATTTCTTTGCTTCAAAAGGCACAAGATGGAATTATTGGTGCAGCTTTGGCCGGATCTGCCGCACCGATTCCAGTGCCCCTGCTGCAGTAGTTTTGTTTTGAAAAGCTGCACCAAAGCTCTAAACCCATACTCACATGCTCTATGTACTGTCGTGGACGTGGAAATCCGGTCGAGTGACCGCGGCCGGCGCCCTCGGTGTGTACAGAACGTTGCATGCAGTGCACATGTTGGTCGTATGCGTACTCACGGCTGCATGGCTAGCGCCCTGGGGCCGCTCGACCTTGCCCTGGGGCCGCTTGACCTCCGACCGGATTTCCATGTTCGCCACAGTAGCTAACAAGCCACTGCACTACGCACATGGCTGGCTTCTGCGCTATATCAGCTCCACCAAGAGTACATAACCCCCAAGAGTGTGCAACTGCCTGCACAACCTCTATGCTGTGCTGCGACGGCAGAACTTCACATCACGTGACATGGTTCAAAAGGTTAGGCTGGCAAACAGTGCAAAGTGACCACAAGAGAGTGAGCCAAAAGCTGGGTTGCGTACAACCCTGCAGGCCTGTATCTATCATGCACAAAGTGCAAATAATGTGTACGGGTTCACCACGTGATGCAAAGTTTTGCCGTCGCAGACCCCATAGCTGGAGTTGGACACTCTTGGGGTTATGTACTCTTGGCTCCACAAAGTAAAGTATTTTTTTAGTTTAGTGTATCAGGGGCCCCGGCTTGGTGACTGGACTGTAGACCCCGAGGAATGCATGATGTCAATTGGACAGGACGTTTCGCGGACTTCACACTGTGACGAAAGCTTCGTCGGTTATGGCACCCTGTACTGACCTCCGGACCCCCAGCAGATAGGACTGGTGGACCGGAAGCGTTTACGTTTGTATGCGGAATGGCCGCGCCTGAGCTGGGCCGTTTTCGCACCTCTGCGTACAGAGTACAGTCACCCTGCCGTGTTTAGGGTTCTCCGTGCACCTGTGGTAGCTGTCACGGGTCACAGCGTGCGTACGCACTACCGCCGATACTGGCGCTAGGTCAGAAGTACAGGTACGCACTAGTACTTGAGCCCTATTTAGTTCCGGGGTGCTGCCGACAGTCACCTGGCTCAGCCACCCTACTGCACTCCTTCTGTGCGTGTAGCACCACCTCCTTGCTGACACACATGCTTTTTAGGCCGTGTGCGCTTGCAGAGATCATATGTATTGACTACACTAACTCCGTCCCATACAAACTGCCTCCGACTAGTCTGGCCTGAGCGTAACTCGTTGTACACCATTGAACTCCCTACCCGCCTCTCTGCTGTATCATTATTACTGTCGTCAATTGCCGAACCTGGCGGCATGAACCGGCACTGCATCCCCCGTCCCCTAGATAATGGGACGGCGTGCCCTGCTAACGTTAAACGGGGTGACCCATCCAGGTGTAGCGAAAACCCATGGGCTGCTGTGACCTTACTCTGGGCTGGCTGAGACATAATGACTATGTAGGTGTAGGTATAGTACAAGTACGAGACCTCAATCAGGTGGTGTTACGAAACAGTAATTTTATTTATTTATTTATTTTCAAAGTGTCAAACAATTTTTTATTTTTTATTTTCAAAAATGTCTAACAACACGGCATTCTGCAGGGCAAGTAGTTACAACGAAACAAGATCTACGCCTGGGATGTCAAGATCTACGAAAGACAGATTGCACTTTTAGACCTACTGGCTGGAGCTACTGGAAAGTAGGCCTACAAAATTACGGTACATACACTCTACGAACTATCGAAGGGACCACGGACCTAAGCCGGGACCCAATACCATGCACGCTTGGACAAGAAACGACACACAAAGCAAACTAGCAAGACCGGGTGCTCACCTGAGGAGGCGCGCCAATGCGGGGCCTGGTCGTTCGTAGTACGTCATTTGTGATACGGAGGTACGGCGAGGAGAAGAAGATCTAGGAATACGAGCTGACTGCGACGCGTCGACGAGCTTCAGGGTCGTGGGAAAGATTAGTTGGGCGCCAAATGTCGTCAATTCAATTGGACGAACTGTTGCTCTCCTCGCCACTCCACACAACAACAAAAGACTCGTGCAAACTGGGAGAGAGCGTTTTCTCTAACTTGATTTCACAAGGCGACTGGAGAACTGCGCTCCAACAAAACGGACAAGAGAATATATTATGGGGACGCGGAGAAAAGAGGGGAAAAAGTGGGCGAGGGATACGAAAGAGGTGCCTGTGCAAAGTACAAGGCCTGAACAGGACGGGAGACAAAGACGAACGGCGGGGAAATATGACGGACACAAGACGGCAACCAGACAAATACAACGGAGACAAGACGAGAAAATGTGTATGCAACGGGGACGAGATGAGAAATAATGCATACGGAGGGGACAGAAGACGGTGCAGCGGCATGTACAAAGCATTCCAAGACAGCGCAGCGGCGTGTACCACGGGTCAGCAGCATGTACGACACAGAGACACATACGCAGCCACGTGTACGACAAAAGAGACACAAGCGCAGTCACATGTACGACAAAGAGACACCAGCGCAGCCGCATGTACGACACAGAGCTACAAGCGCGACCACATGTACAACATTACAGTAATACTGCCACCCATATATGCATTCGGATATTTTGCAGCTGCCCAAGAATTCCCGCCTCAACCCCTGATGTCCCTGCATGCTATTTTCCACAAGAACACGGAAGTAAAAACTCCTTGTCTTTTAGCACACACACAGAACACGAGCAGTTTGATTTTTGTGCCATCTGGCCACGGTTCAGGATTAGTTATGATGATAGATGAGAATATTAGTCCTCCATCATCTTCTCCTTGGCTTCTTTTAGATTCGCCTCTTCCAGGGCTTGGGCCTTGGCCGTCGCCAGTTCGGCTTCCCTCATCCGCAACTGTTGTTGCCGATCCGCCGCGACAGCAGGAGGAGGCGGCTTTAGGGCCGCCTCTCCCGCTGCGGCCACGGTGGCCTTCACCTGCCGGTCCTTACTAGGATGCTGGGCCGGTTTGACCTGCGGCCGCCCCGACGTCGTCGCCGCCAACACCGAGCGCGGACGCTCTGCGTTGTTCGTCCAACCAATCCTGGGGACCCCCTCTCCCCACGGCATGGCCGTTTGGGAGAGGGCCCCGTGGACCGTTCATCATCCCTCTGCCGGTGAGGCCCTGGCGATGCACTGCGCGATGGCTCTACTGCTGCATTCAGGGACCTGATCGCGGAGTGCAGCTGTGTAAGATCTTGTTGCAAACGGCGGATCACCCGTGCTGAGTTGAACTGCCGCATGGCCTCGAGAGCTGCGGCTGATTGCCCGAGAGCCTCGTGTAGCTCGCGTAGGTTGTCTGTTGGGGGGTTGTTCCGCTTGGGTGGCATCTGTAACAACCAGGTCAAGCAGAGAACACGGAAGTTGGGATCCTGGTCACAGCACCAAATGTCGCATCCCTGCGAGGTTCGTTGCCCGTCATGATCGCTCACAACCCAACCAAATCCAACCGCCAGGCGGTCGACCAATATAGTCGACGACCCAACTTAGTGTTCTGCTCACCTTGATTCACACTCGACAACGAAGCGAAGACAGGTAGGGAGTCTGAGAATCTCAGTTGACCAATCAAGTCCGGGAGAGAGTTATGTGAGTTATGGTGAAGACATCGTTCTTTTTATGCACTAGAACGAAGAGAGAGAGAGAGAGAGAGAGAGAGAGAGAGAGAGAGAGAGAGAGAGAGAGAGAGAGAGAGAGAGAGAGAGAGGTTCGTGCAAAGCATGGCGTGATTGTTTCTTGGAAGGCGGCATAGCATACAGGTTTGACAGCGCAGGCATGGTAGGAAATAGCAAAAGATCAAAAGTTCAAATAACGGAAAACGACAACGAAGAAGAAGCACAAACGGAGCAAAAGGCCGGATCGGGACGTAGGGAGCCCGCTCACCTACGTCTCCGCAGAAATTGTGAGTTATATGGATCACGCCGAGGAGCCCGCTCACCCGACGTGATAGAAGAGCTTAACTCCGGCGGGATGTTGTGCCGTATACTGTGCCCTTTTCCGGGAACTTCACCGGCGGGCCCTTCGCGGGTCACCGCGGGGTCGCTGTACCGCGCTTGCCACGCCTCCCTTTTGCGCCTTCATTTCGGCGCGCCGGTTCCCCGCTCTTTTGCGCACGCCTCTCGTTTTCTGCACTCAGCTCTCATTCTTCTGCACTCAGCTCTCATTCTTTTGCGCACGGCCCTTCGTGTCTTGCACGAAGCGCGAAAGGGATCATGGAAATCAATAGGACTTCTCAGTCACATGGTTTTGCATGAAGCCTTGAGGTACATTTCCAGGAAGTAAAGAACTTCCTGGAACATTCCTAGAACATTCCACGCGAGAACCTACCTGACCAGGTTCCGGCGTTGAATCACATGATGTGTCATGTCCAAGAGACATGACACCGACGTGGGATATCAAGCCTAAGAGGCATGATATCCCACGTGGGACAGCGCATGCCGCTCTACCTACATGCTAAGCACGTGGGACAAGACACTGGCCAAACCAAGTGATAGTATAGGTCGTTACAGCTCAAACACAGACCTGCATACTACATAGATCCTGCTGTCACAGGACCTGTCAGACTGCGGGCGTCACGTCCAGGACGTGCCACAAGCATTTTGACATGCATGTCGGTGTATGGGCTGCATATGGATAATTAGAAATTCCTGATAATTCGCAGTTGGGGCCTGGTATTTTGAGGTTCGAATTAACCCTTTAGAAAGAAAAAAGGACATATGGACACGAGTTAACCCTTTAAGAGCCACAGGAATTTTTCAAAATTCTGCATTTTTTCGTGTTCCTTGGATCATAGCTTCAGT